CCTTTTGAGATTGATTTGATTATTGGCAAATCAAAAATTCGAAGGTTTTTCGAAATGAGTATAGTTACCTATATTTGTGTGTATATATATATATATATATATATATATTAGAGTGTAATATTATAATATATTATGGTGTATCAAAATTATGTGTACAAATATCATAATTCTGTTTCTGTTTCCCTTAGCATGACCATTATGCCTGGCTGTTACCTCATAAATAATGGATTATTGCACTTTGATTGCCTGGAAAGATGGAAAAGAATTATCAGAGATGCTACTTGGTTTCAATGAGATAATGAAAGAAAGAAAGAAAGTTGAAGGGACGATAGATGTGCTTAACAGCTGTTTCAGTGAAATGTAGAAGTTGTCTATTCCAAATCTTTTACCTTGTACACCTTACTTATTAAAATACCAACCAGCTTTCATATTTATGATTGCTATTGCAATATATTATTAAAGTTGCCAAGCTCAGATATCTAACTTTAAATATTTAAATCTTTACAGATATTTTATTGTCATAGAACTCGGTATGAGCTTATTCAATCATTAACTCAAGAATTAAGATTCATCAGAAAATTCAAATTGAAAAACCGTGAAATTTTCACACTTATTCCTAGTATAACATAATATATCTAATACAGAATATAACATTATATACATGTACAAATTTATGTATATGTATACATGTGAGTTTCTTTTCTATAGGTCCCTTTTCTGTGTATATGTTGTATATATATATTTATATACATATATATGGAAATGTCATATAGCCTGACGTGCCTTAACCGATTCGGTCACAGAGGATCGTTCAATTAGCAAGGTCGATTCTACTGTCTTTAAACTACAATCTTCCATGATTCTCTCACATACATTCATATCTGCTCAATGCGTATCCAAATGTAAACAAATGACGTCACACAATATGAAATGGACAAAGTTTGGCAATTATTTTTAGACATTTTTATGTTTATACATTCTTTTTATAGATTCAAATATTTAAGTAAATGCTCTGTTTATAATAAATGTTTATAAAAAATGAAAATAATATGACAAAGTAATATACATGCATGTGTATTTATAAATATATATGTATTTATTCATACTGATGCATGTGTGTGTCTAGTTATCAGTGTATATTTTTGCTTCTGAGATTATTTCAATGAAAGTTTGTCCATTTACATTCTGTAGAATCAAAGACTTTAGCAAAAATCTGATTGCTCAAAAACTGTTACAATTAAAAACTTAAACAATAGATGGTAAAACTGAAATAAATGAATTATTAAGGAATAAATCCAAACAAAGTAAAATTCTTTCTCCAGGTTTTGAGCAAGGAATCCATAGACGTATAAAATTAATTATTTTCTTTTTAAACAAATTTGTCTTTATCATTCATATTTTACCAGTATTTGTCTCTTTTTTTCCCTTTGTTTTTTTGCATACTAAAAAGATAATTCTTTTTAAAATTGTATTTCAGTAAGCTCAGATGGATTTGATTGAATTTAACTAAGCCATCTTTAACAAACATGCACATATGTATATAAATTCCTTTCTTCTTCTTTTAAAATATCTATAAGATAACTTAATACTGTCATTAAATAAGATTTTTGATTTATTAATCTGATCATGGTTTCTGCTTGGGTGAAAGGGTACTTTTTTTTGTTAAATAGGAATTTTTCTCAGTCTAAAGAAGAAATATTTTTCATTGCTTTGCTTAAAAGGTATGTTATAGTTCTTTAAAAAAAAATTTTTTTTTTCACCAAATTATTCAAATTTTTATTTCTGCAACATATTTTTTTTATATCTGTTTCTATTTCTGACTTTATAACAAACAATATATTTATCTGATTATTACTGGCAGATTATCTTCCACTCCTCATTTTTTAAATATATATATATATATATATATATATATATATATATATATATATATATATATATATGTGTGTGTGTTTATCTAACTTGGTCAGGAATGTAAAACAGCATATCTTTTAAAAAATCGTGTTTATGTGTGTTCAAATGAACATGTATTTACTCATTTTGGGGGTCTCAGGAAATGTTTTAATAATACCTCAAAAAATTAATTTTAAAAATCATCTCTGAAAAAAAAACATATTTTTTTAAATCGTAGAATGAGTAATAACATCATGTTAAGGGTTCAGCCTTTTTCTTTGTTAGAATACAAAAATTTTAAAAAATGCAGACTTTAAGATTTGAAAAAAAAAACTGCTAGAAAATTCCAATGACTTCATTTATTTTATAGTCATCTATTTTGGTAAATACAGAATTATGTGTGTTGATATAAAAATACGATCTTTTTTTAAAATTTGTTTCTCATATTTATTTAGGTAAATTTAAAATGGATCTACATATTTTTAAAAAAATCAGTATCTGATAACTTTGAAATATATTAGCCCTATTCAAGGTTATAGTTTTTCTATTGCAATATTGCAAATAAGATATAGCATTTGCTATTGCAAATAGGATATTGCCATTTGTTATTGCAAATAGGATATAGAATTTGTAATTGCAAATAGGATATTGTCTCTGCTGTTGCAAATAGGATACAGTCTTTCCTATTGCTAATTGGATATAGACTTTGCTGTTTGCAAATAGGATATTGCCTTTTCTATTGCAAATAGAATATCACCTTTGCTATTGCAAATAGAATATTGTTTCTACTCTTACAAACAGGATACAGCCTTTCCTATTGCAATATAGGATATAGGATTTGCTATTGCAAATAGGATATTGTTTCTGCTATTGAAAATAGGATATAGCCTTTGCTATTGAAAACAGTATATAGCCCTTGCTATTGCAAATAGGATATAGTCTTTATAGCTCTTATAAAACCAAGTTGATCAAGAAAGGTTAATTTGGTCATCATTTCTTAGCTGAAAATAAAACTTTTTCATCTTTTTTGGGAACAATTTCAGAGAAAATTTTCAGCTTGCCTTAATTGGCTCTTACAACCTAATTTACTTGTGTAAATGGATGGTAGAACAGGGATTTGGAGTGTGAGTAAGCACAAACATTGCTTAGAGCTATGAAAGATAGGAAGTTGTGGAGAGCCATGATTATATAAATCTTAAAGCAACAAAACATGTAAAAGAAATATAAAACAAAGTAATTATTTCACATTCTTTATAAAATACTGCTATTTTTCTCTAATGAGGAAAGTATTATAAACTTTACCTTCAAAAACTTCTTTTAGAGTTTATCAGTCTTTGGCCATTCAAGGATGGAACCAAAAATTGTCACTCCAAGTAGCACCTCCTTGACAGGAGTAAGAAAGTCAGTTCACTCTGTTGTGCAAGACAGTTTTTCTCTCTGGAATCTGTCTTGCATAATTATAGGTCTACCATTCGTCCATGCTTAGAATATTGCTGCCATATATGGTCCGGTGCCTCTGCTATTTACCTGGAGCTCCTTGATAAGATCCAAAGAAGAATTGGCAATATTATTGGTCCTGATCTGGTGGATCATCTTCAGTCACTTGCCCACCACTGTATTGTTGCATTTTTGTACATTTTTAATAAATAGTTTCATGGTAATTGTTCAGAAGAGCTCTTTGCTATGGTACATTGTCTGTATGAATTTATGCACAGTTCTAAACTGGCATCAAGATATTATCAATTTACAGTTGAGCTGGCTAGATGTTGCTGTAAGTTCTATGCTAAGAGTTTCTTTTCTTGCACTTCTTGCTTGTGGAACATGCTTCCGGCTCCACACTTTCCAGCTAATTTTAATCTGGTTGACTATTTCATACAGTGTTGGTATTATTAAAACATTTCCTGAGACCCCCAAAATGAGTAAATACATGTCCACACTCTATCTATCTATCTATCTATCTATCTATCTATCTATCTATCTATCTATCTATCTATCTATCTATCTATCTATCAGCACACAGTTGTACAATGATCTGGTTGGCTATTCCATACAGTGTTGATTCTATGTTCTCACAGTCTTTATCTATCTATCTATTATCTATTAAACACACATCTATATAATGATAATGATAAATGCTCTATATCTGATACTGAGCAATCATTCTCTATAAATATAGAAAATTTTAAATCATTTATATATATATATATATATTATATATATATATATATATATATCTTTTTTCTGCACTGATCAAACCTGGAAAAGAACTAACAACTAGTTATACACCTTGTGTGCATGAACAGGAGTACCTCTTTATTGCCATTCACCATTATTAAACAGAGAGCCTCTTCAGGTTATGAATGGAGAGATTATGTATCACTGGGTTTTGAAGAAATTTGGCTATAAACCGGCACACACACACACATAGACACACATAGACACACACACACACACATAGACACACACACACACACACACACAGTTTTAACAAAAAGGATTAAACCATTTAATATTAACAAAAATGGTGGCCTACCTAGGGCAATAGCATGTTTGTCCTCAAAATACTCTTCTTGGAACCACACTCACTCATGACATTATTCATTCTACTTTTTTAAAAGCAGCTGCAAAGTCCTCTTCCAGGATGATTGCCAGCTGCCTTGTCAGGTCTTCTGCAATCTCATTCTATCAGGAATCATTTTTCCAATATTTCAATTCATGGCATCTGATCTTAATTCAAGATTCCCACTTAGAGAATGAATAAAAGGAGTGTAATAATAAAGAGAAGGAAGAAAGAGAGAAAAGAGGAGAAAGAAAGAAAGTATAATAATAATGAAGAGAACATATAAGAGGAGGAAGAAAGAGTAAAATAAGAAGTAGAAGAAGAATGAAAAGAGAAAGAGTCAAATAAGAAGAAGAAGAAGAAAAAGAAGTAGAAGAAGAATGAAAAGAGAGAGTCAAATAAGAAGAAGAAGAAAAAGAAGTAGAAGAAGAATGAAAAGAGAGAGTCAAATAAGAAGAAGAAGAAAAAGAAGTAGAAGAAGAATGAAAAGAGAGAGTCAAATAAGAAGAAGAAGAAAAAGAAGTAGAAGAAGAATGAAAAGAGAGAGTCAAATAAGAAGAAGAAGAAAAAGAAGTAGAAGAAGAATGAAAAGAGAGATAAAAAAGAAGAAGAAGAAAAAAAAAGAAGAAGAAGAATGAAAAGAGAGAGTCAAATAAGAAGAAGAAGAAAAAAAGAAGAAGAAGAAGAATGAAAAGAGAGAGTCAAATAAGAAGAAGAAGAAAAGAAGTAGAAGAAGAATGTCAAATAAGAGAGTCAAATAAGAAGAAGAAGAAGAAGTCAAATAAGAAGAAGAAAAAAAGAAGAATGAAAAGAGAGAGTCAAATAAGAAGAAGAAGAAGAAAAAGAAGTAGAAGAAGAATGAAAAGAGAGAGTCAAATAAGAAGAAGAAGAAGAAAAAGAAGTAGAAGAAGAATGAAAAGAGAGAGTCAAATAAGAAGAAGAAGAAAAAGAAGTAGAAGAAGAATGAAAAGAGAGAGTCAAATAAGAAGAAGAAGAAAAAGAAGTAGAAGAATGAAAAGAAGATAAAAGAAGAGGAAAAGATTATAATAATAATGAAGAGGAAGAAAAAGTATAATAATAGTAATAATGAAATCCTAGATTAACAGAAATACAAAAAATTGTCTTGATAAATACAGCCCACACATTATGAGGAACTTTGTCCATGTAATGCTCATGATGTTATGGGAGTTAGAAAAACAAATCATGAAATGTATCCCTAACAACACACCACTAACTGCCTTAGGTCTTCCCACAGACTTGGTAGGTAATGTGACCATACAGAAATAAAAAAAAAAGATTAAAAAAAGTAATAATAATAATAATAATTTTAAAATTCTTTTTTTATTTTTTAAAATTTTTATAAAAAAACATCTTTTTCTTCCTTGAACACAAGAAGCTTCACCTTTTCAAGTCAAGGATCAATCGTTATTCATCTCCTGCATGTATGCTTTCCTGAACACTACAATCTTAACCTCTTCAAGTTATCAGCTATTATCTATCCTCCTTATCCTTATAAACTTCCTGATTATGAGGATAAGGAGGATAGATAAAAATTGACTGATTCAACTGTGTGGCATGAATGAAAAAGTAGGTGTTAAAAAAGGAATTCTCACCACCTATTTTTTCATTCATATTACACATCTCATTCATCATAACTATATTTACAGTAACTCTATAGTTTAAATAGTTCTCAAGCATTGTTTAGTTTAGTTTTTCTTTCAGTTTGTGGGGAGACACAGTCATCTGTCAGTGGCAAGGTGAGTGGCTTGGAGGAGAGATATCTCGTGGTCTCTGAGAGTGTCTGCCACTGAGTTGCTCCAGTGTCTTCTTGGTCTGCCTCTCGCTCTCCAGCCAGAGTACCTGAGGGTGCATGCTCATAGCGCTGGTTGGTTGATAAGCATATGAGTGAGTTGTTTGAACCACTTGATCTTCTGTCGTTCAATGTGTTGTATGATTGGTATTGCACCTACCATATCTCTTATTGCCTCATTCCTGATCTTGTCTCGCCTGGTCTTGTTCTCTGCTTTCCTCAGGCATTTCATCTCACAAGTGATTAGTTTCCTCTCAAGGGGTTTTGTTAGGGGCCATGTCTGGCACTGGTATGTCAGCATTGGTAGGAAAATGGCATTGATGAGATTTGCCTTGGTCTTCTTGGTTTGCCTTAGTCAGAAAGCCAATGCAGTCAGTTACCAACTTGCTCCTCTTCTAAAACATCCTAGCATTTCCATGAGCATCAAGCCAAATCTTATTAATGCCATTTTCCTACCAATGCGCGAACATTTTATTAAGTGAAATTTAGTTTAAAAAATAGGACATGGTTATCTGCTATTACCTGGGATCAATCTCACTTTGATATATCTGAAACGGCTCAAAATGGTTTATAAAGTGCTACATCAGAGAAAGGTGTTTCTTAATGTGCTAACTTCACTATCCTTTCCCTCTAACTGCCATAAACATATATTTATGTTTGATGATTTAATGTGGGCATCTCTATCAGGTGAAATATCTTTACCAAATTGCTTCTGCATTTACTAAACAGATCCCATTAGCTTTCTCTATGTTAAATTTTGATGTAATGAGGAGAAATACTAATGATTCCTCAAATGACAAAGAGAATTAAACAGATACTAATGTACACATATACATATATGTATCTATTAAGTAAAATATTTAGTATGCACATATGTCCTACTCAGGGATGGAGAAAGAGTTTCATGTTTCCCCTATGAATCTATAATACACCACCTATTTATGATAAGGGGGCCCCCACTCTATTGCATCTCAATTTTTATAAGGTAGCATTTATATAAAATACAAATTTTATTGTAACCTAATTATGTACAATGATGGATTATATACAATATAGGTGAACATTTCAAATAGAAAAATTGAAAATAAATACAATATATCTAAATACAGATTAGAGACATGTCATAATAGATTTTAAATAAATCGACAATGTCTTGTGGTAATTTTTAACATCAGCTCAAGATGTTGTTAAAAAGTTTAATAATTTTAACACATGCAACATTATGGATAAAAAATGGTGAATTTTATATAATGTTTTTTCAAGACATGAAAAAATAAGCAAAAACAAATCCATGGATTTGGATGATAAAAAAACCCAAGGATGACACCAAAATCTACAAAAGTTTTCCATCTTTTAATAGTCAGTTGTTCTTAGTTTAATTTGTGACATATATATATATAGGTAGGAAAAAAGCAAATGTTGATAAGATAGGAAGGGTCACAAAGCACTATTTGGGGACCCCTAATTAGGTTTGAAAAGTCTGGGTGTTCAGGGATAGTATGCACAGGCCTTGGTCCTCCTTGTCTTGCCTAAGTTACAGACTGAAATAACTGATTTTAATAGAGAGAAAAGACAGGCAAGGAAACAAAATTAAATACTGATTTTTACTATATTTTTGAGGTAGTAACTCATCTTTCTATATGTATATATATTGAAAGATTTCTCTTTCTTTTCAAGGATTGCGTCTTGTGTATACTAACATAACTGTTTTTGGTTAATTCTGGCATTCTTATGTTTTCTGGAACCAATTTCATGTCAGTCAAGGTGACGTCATTTAAATAGTTTTTTTTAATTTTTCCAAAGTACTTTTGAATGTTATTGCATTTTTTCAAGGCTTATGTTTTTGTATATTTATGCAACTTTTTTTGTTTAATTCCAACATTCTTATATTTGCTGGAATGAATTTCAAGTCATGCAAGGTAATGTCATTAAAACAGTAAAAACTGGAATTTTTATATGTATTTTTTTCACCTATGGGGAGAGATACCTTATTTAATGTTGGCTACTTTTCTTTTATTACAACAGCTTCCAGAATTTTGAGTTTTTCTTTGCACTATATAATATTTTGGTGCAATCTACTAAAATTTGTCTTATACTAATGTTATTTTGCTTATTTATTATATGTTGATCTATATATGCATGAATTGCACTAAATTTTGACAAATGACAAGTTAACCTATGAGAGAGTGTGGTACATGTGTGGCCAATGTAAGAATTTAATGTTATCTGTTGATTCTTATTGTTGGAGATACAATCTCCCAAAGGATATAAAAATTCATAAATGTTTATATATACATGTATGTATGTATGTATCTATGCATGGGCATGTGGCCTAGTGGTTAGAATGTTCACATTCTGACCATGAGACCTGGGTTTGAATCTCACCATGGTCAATTTCTCAGGAAAGAGACTTCCTGATGTTATCGAACTAGAGGGGCCAATCCCAGCAGGTGGCACCTTTGGAAAGTGTCTGAAAACTATACCAAAGATTAACTCAAGCCTTGTGAATGAAATTGGGTAGACACATCCCTTGGGGGTTGTCAATAGCTGTGCTAGCATGAAGTCACAAGTCATCATGGCCGAGGGATTGAGCGTGCTGGCCTTGTTCAAATTGTTAATCATGCTAGATAACATGCTCTTTTCCTGAAGCTGTAACTAAGGTCTGCTCAGCATAGTTGCAGTATAAGCCACAGGTGGGCTCTGTTGGTGTTGAATAAACACAAATGTGCCTGAGCAAGTGTCTTCAATAGGGATTGGCTAGACACTCTAGCAGACGTGTATCCTCAAATATGAGTGGCCAGTTATAACTATCTATACATGTATATATATATAATGTCTGGCTATTTTCATTTTCCAAGCACAACTGTCTGATAGGGCAGCTAGCCAATCCCTACTGCAGGTACCTTCTCAAGCACATTCAGGTTTGTTCTACACCCAGGATCCCACCTGTGATTTATCCTGCAACTATACTGAGTGGGCTTTAGTTACAATTTCTGAGAGAGAGAGAGAACATAATCTGTCATTATCAGCAGTTTAAGCAACACCAGTACACTGAAACTCTCAGTTACAATAACACGATGCACTAGTACAACCACTGACAGATTCCATCTATCCAATTTTAATCATAAGGCTTGGGTCTACCTATGCTGTAGTTTTCAGGTACTTTCCAAAGGTGCTGCACACTGGGACTGATTCCCTAGTCTGACCATCCTGTCATATCAACATGGTGAGATTCAAACCCAGGTTTCATAGTTAGAAAGGTAATGTTCTAACCATTTGGCCACATGTCTGTTTATATACATACAGTGGGGAAATTAAGTATTTCATCCCCTGCTGATTTTCTGAGTTTGCCACCTTACAAAAATGGGAACGGTCTATAATTTTCAGGGTATGTCCATCTTGAAAGTGAGAGATAGAATATAAAAAAAAATTCTAGAAAATCACATTATATTAATTTTTGAACATTTATTTCTTTTTTATTGATAAAAATAAGTATTTCACCCCATAGCAAAGCATAACTCAGTATTTGGTGAAGAAACCCTTGTTGGCATGCACAGCAGCCAGACATTTACTGTAGTTGGTTAACAAGTTTTTACAGATCCCAGGGGTGGATTTTGACCCACTCCTTTTTGCAGATCCTCTCCAAATCCTTAATGTTTGTAGGTTGCCATTGGGAAGCACAAAACTTCAGTTCCCTCCACAGATTCTCTAAAGGATTAAGGTCTGAAGACTGACTAGGCCACTCCATTACCTTAATGTGCTTCTTCTTGAGCCACTTCTTTGTTGCCTTAGCCGTATACTTTGGGTCATTGTCATGATGAAACACACATTCACAATACATCTTCAGTGTCCTGGCTGAGGCAAGGAGGTTTTCACTCAAGATTTCCCTGTACTTGGCTCCATCCATCTTTCCCTCAACCCAGTGTAGTCATCCTGTCCCCTTAGCAGAGAAACAGCCCCAAAGCATAATGTTTCCACAACCATGCTTAATGGTTGGGATGGTCTTCTTGGAGTCCAAGTCAGCTTTATTTTTTCCTCCAAACACAGCAAGTCAAGTTGATGCCTAAAAGCTCAATTTTATTCTCGGCTGACCACAACACTTTCTCCCAACCCTCCTCTGAATCATCCAGGTGCTCATTTGCAAATTTCTGATGTGCCTGTACATGTGCCTTCTTGAATAAGGGGGCATTACGGGCACTACATGTTTTCAGTTCACTATGAAATAGTGTGTTACTAATGGTCATCTTGGTGACTATGGTCCCAGCTGCTTTGAGATCTTCAACAAGCTCTTGCCGCTTAGTTCTCAGTTGTTTCCTCACCTTTCTCATCATCAGCTTCACTCCATGTTAGGAGATCTTGCATGGAGCTCCAGACTAAAGAAGATTGATAGTCAATTGGTGTTTCTTCCATTTTCTTATTATTGCACCAACAGTTGACTCCTCACCTAGCTGCTTGCTAATTGTCTTGCAGCCCATTCCAGTCTTGTGCGGGTATACAATTTTGTCCTGGGTATCCTTAGACAATTCTTTTGTCTTACCCATAGTGGAGAGATTAGATTCTGATTCATTGAAGGATTCTGTGAACTGGTGTCTTTTATACAGGTAATGTGTACTTCATTAGGAGTAATAATTGAATAATAGGACTAGTCTCTATGCCTCCTGGTCACATAACCCGTCTGTGGAGCCTGAATCATTGCTGGTTGGTAGGGGGTGAGATATTTATTTTCCCCACTGTATACATATATACACACACACACACACACACACACACACACACACACACACACACACACACACACATATCGATTACTGTTTTTCATGTAATGCACTAAGTACATGTTCCTGAGGATGACTGACAAGAGCTTGGACACAGCCATTATAAAAGATGTGTAAATGATAATTCATAATTTAGAGAGGAAGATTGACAAACCCAATAGACACAAAACGTCTATACTCTTTAATAACACATGTTTGAAGGAATGATTGCTGCCTAAATGCACTAAATTTAAATTACATCATTATGCACCTCTTAATTATGTTACAACTTTAAAATTTCTTATTAAAAAAGATATCATCCATTTTCCCAATAATTCAACATCTTTCTATTGAAATCAGCAAAATGGAAGAATGGATTGATTTGTTTGTTATGGCTTATCAACCCTTTGCAAGTTATTTAAAGCCAGAAAATATTTTTACATTGTAAGAATTATTTTTTGTCAATTAATGATACAAGACTTACTAATTAACCCATAGGGGAGAGAATAGATGGATTCATACCATTCCCAAAGGTACTTGCATATAAAGGAATGTAATCAATCCAACTAGAATTGTAACTCGACTCACCGATTAACAATATTGAGCCATTACCCATTACATCACTTGCACATCCCAGTTTACAAGACCTGGCATTCTTAAGTGGTCACCCATCAAGTTACTGACCAGGCTCAGCTTAACTTTGGTGATAGTTTGTTCATATAAGTATCTTCATATATATATATATATATATATATATATGTGGATGTGAAAGTGGTTCAATGGTTAACAAGCTAAGCTCGAATTCCACTAGAGTTCATTAATTTCCCTTTAGTATAAATATACTTGGGAAAGGTATGGATTCATCTTTTCTCCCCTCAAGCATGAGTTAAATAGTAGGCCAGACTTGGCTCTTCAGCAGTGGTTATCAACAAGCCTAGGAGAAGGATAACTCTGAATTCAAGACCAGTTGGACATGAGGTTAGAAACTCAATCCCATGAAATACATACTTGGTATTGAAACCACATTAGCATTGCCTAGTACGTTGAAGCAGTCACCTGAAATTAGTTTACATAGCTTGATATATATGTATATGATAGAATGCTGTAATGTTTCTACCATTTGGCTGGGCATTTGAATATTGTTGCCATATCTGGTCTAGTGCTTTGACTATATATCTCAGGATTCTTGACACAATTCGAAGAAGCGTCTTTAATGAAATCAATCTTGACTTATCATCTTGACTTCAGCCACTTTCTCACCAATGAGAAACAGCTTCTCTCTGCCTTTTCTACAAATATTTTAATGGCAATTGTTCTGATGGACTTACAGCCATATCAAGTTGAAATACTAAAATTAAGCAACATTGAGCCTGGTCAGTACCTAGAAGAGTGGTCACTAGGGAATATCAGGTGCTGTGAACTTGGATGTGCAGGTGGTGTAATTGAAAATGGTTTGAAATTCGAAATCAGAGAGCCAAGTTCCAATTCCAGATGGGTTTGTTATATACATGCAAATACTCTTGGGAAAAGTATGAAACTAACTCTTCTACTTCTGGCTATGGGTTAATTACCAGGACTCATATCAGTAAATCACTATTATCCCTGCCCCCGCCCCCTCACAAAATTCTTACAATCTAAAAATATTTTCTGGCTTTAAATAACCTGCAAAAGGTTGATAACCTGTAAAAAACAATCAATCAATCAATTGTTTTGATGAGCTTAGTGCCTCAATTGCATGAATCTAATGGTGCTACTAGATTGGCAACTAGGGTCATGGTTTTACTGTTGAACTAGTGAGATGCAACCATCTGTTCTCTTCTAATAGTTTATTTTCTTGCACTTCTCACCTGTGGATATCTTGCTTTCCTGCCAATCTTCAAAAATTTAAATGCAACGCCAATTATCATCTTTTGTCATTCTAAAACCTGTTCTTTTATTGTCCTTTCTTCTCACTAAAGTCTTTTCATTCACTTTCATGCCATATAAGCCCTTGCATCCTAATTGCGTTATCAGCTTGCTTGGGGTGAAACGATTAAGAAAAAATATGAGAAGATTTAAAAATCGTTTCTTAGTTGGGATGAGAATTTTTCAGTACACCTTTATATGATTTCCTGTATTTATATACACACACACACACACATTTTATGAGATTTTTTATCTCTTTTTATAAACATATAGACCTTTATATAGACTTTTATATACTAACATTACACACAGACACAAAAGTATGTACATCCACATACTTATTTTATAGATATATAATCATATTTGATATAAAATTTATTATTTGAACTACTCACTCATCTTAAGCTGACTAAACAGAAGCTAAGGTCTACTGAATAACTTGATGAAGAATTTGATGGTTGATATATATGCACTTCCACTTAACTTTAGCAAGAATGCAGAGTCAGAATAAAAGACCTGCCATAATGTCTGGAAAACCCTTCATGCCTTACTTTCCATAAATTCTAACATAAACATGCCAGCAAACTTATATAAATAAATATATGGGTACAAAACATCTATACATGTGTACTTACAATGATCCTTAAATGCATGCAAATGGATAGCTGAGTGACTCATGTAGACTGTTGGCTCCAAATTTCCCATGATCCTTTCTCTGCAGTTGAATATTTGAAAGGGAATTATTGGAGAAAGAATCAGTGGGAAAAGGAAAATGTTTCAGAGGAAGAGAAGAAAGTGAATTGAAAAGAGGAAAAGAAATAAAAAAGAAAGGAAGATTAAAAGAAGAAACTAGAAAGAAAGGAAAAAAGAAAAATTTAAGGGAAGAAAAGAGAAAGAAATAAGTTAAAATTAAAAAGAAAGGAAAAATGGAAAGAGAACATACGGAAAAAACAAAAAACAGAAAAGAAAAAAGATAAAAGAAACAAGAAAATTAAATTCATATAGATCAGAAAGAGAGGGAAAAATTAAATAAAAAAAAAGGAAAATTTTTTTAAAATTAAAAAAGAAAAAATTTTAAAAAATTACAAAGAAGCTAAAAATCTAAGGTTTAAAAAACTTTAAGGAAAGTTGCAGGAAAGAATAAATAAAAAGAAAATATATAAAATATGAAATAGTAAAAAAAAACTGACAGGGCATAAAATTTGATTGTAATTAAAAATAAAACACCATGATGAACAGACAATGAATATTGAAAAATAAAGCAAGGTAATAAATAAAAGAAGAAAAGGAAAGCAATGTAGTAAATAAAAGAAGAAGAAATAAGCAAGGAAAGAAATAAAAGAAAAAAGAAAGCAAGCAAATAAATAAAAGAAGAAAAAGTAAATGAAGAAATAAATAAAAGAAAGAAAGCAAGGAAAGAAATACAAGAAAAAAAGAAAGCAAGAAAATATATAAAAGAAAAAAAAAGAAAGTGAGAAAATAAATAAAAGCAAAAAGAAAGTAAATAAAAGAAAATAATTAAGCAAGGAAGCATGTCCTCAAAGAAACGTAGTTACTGTTTGCTGATAGAATGAAACAACGTATAGCATGTCACAAGTTTGGTTCTAGAGATTATTGGCGGCTCTACAAGAGTGTGCTGAACAACAGCAAGTCCTCAATCCCTCCTCTATTCAATCAATTTGAAGTCCTGACATCTACAGCAGATAAGGTTGAATGCTTTGCTCGAAAATTCTCTTCCAACTCAACACTTCACTCATTTGGAGTACTGACATCTGATTTCCTTCCAGAACAGAGGCTGAGTGATATGTGCATAATCCCTTCACTGGTCTCAAAAATTATTTCTAAATTAGGCTTCCATAAGCCAAGTGAAGGTGACGGGATCCTAGCCATCATCATGAAGAAATGTGATCCCGAGTTGGCTCCAGTTCTCTCCTACTTGACAACCATTGCCTCACTGCTTCCTGCTTTCCAGTTCCTGTTTTTAAGAAATCTGGAGAACCTTCTGACCACTTTAGCCATCACCCTATTAGTTTCCTACCACTTTTTGGCAAAGTATTCAAGGCTTTAATCAATGCTGATGTGGTTAAGCATCTTACCTCTGACAAACAATATGGCTTCTGTTTTGCCAGGTCCACCACTAACGTCCATCATTGAACATGTATATCAAGCTCTTGATAATAACAGTGAAGCTTGAGCTGAGTCTCCACATATCTCAAAGGCATCTGACAGAATTTGGCATGCTGGTCTTCTACGTAAGCTCCAGGGCTACGGTATTACTGGACAGTTGTTTGATTTAATCCAATCCCTCCTATTAAATCATGAAATGAAGGTCGTTTTTTAACATGCTCACTTCCAGATCCTTTTACACAAGCGTGGGTGTCCCCCAAAAGCTCTATCCTAGGTCCTATGCTGTTTCTGATCTTTATCAATGATCTTCCTGATGTCATCAGTTCCCAAGTAGGCATTTATGCAGATGACACTACCCTATCAGAGCTGACAAAGTTTACTTGGCTGCTGGTCTTAAAAAGGACGCCCTCACAATATGTTGTTAACTGGGGAAAGAAATGGCTCATAAATTTTAATGCCTCCAAAACTAAACTGCTCTAGTTTAACCACCAAAGAGAAACTGCCTACCATAAGCATAGCTGATAAATTGATGGAGAGCAATACACAGCACCTTTTTAGCCTCAAATTTTCAACAGACTTAGAATGACTACATCAAATAAATAGCTGCATCTACTGCAAGGAAATTTGGGTCACTGTGTCATGCCAGAAGAGTTTTCTCATCAGAGTCCATCTTGCACATTTACAAATCTACCATTCATCCATGCCTTTGATAGTGTTGCCATATCTGGTCTGGTGCTCCTGCTACTCATCTCAAGGCTCTTGATAAAATCCAAAGAAGGACCTGCAATGTAATCAATCCTGACTTGACATCTCATCTTCAGTCACTTTCTCACCAGTGTGATGTGGCTTCCCTCTGTCTTTTCTACAATATTTTCATGGGAACTATTCTGACAATGTTTTTTCCCTGGTGCCTGGACTGCATAAGTTTAAGTGTGCTATTAGATTGGTATGTAGGTCCCACCCTTTTACTGTTGAATTACTTAAATGTAACTGCAACTTCTACTCCAACAGTTTCTTTTCTTGCACTTCCCACTTGTGAAACTCCCTTCGCTTTCCTTGCTTTTTTCAAAAATTTAAATGCAACGTCAATCACCATTTTCTATCTTCTTGAACCCCATTCAGCTTTTATCCCCCTATCCCCAGTCTTTTCTCTCACCTTCACTCTCTGGGACCCCCTGTGTACTTGTGGCATTCCCACTTTGCCTGGGGTGAAATGATTAAAAATACATAAAGAAAGAAAAGAAAAAAGAAAGCAAAGAAGTAAATAAAAGAAAAACGAAAGCAAGGAAGTTAATGAAAGAAAAAAACAAAAACAGATAAGTAAAGTGTAAGTAAGATTGCATTATGGCGAGCAGTGTTTTTAAAGAATTCTATGCAGAGCAAAACAAAACCTGACCTTTTGCATTCTGATGGCTGATCTTCGTCTAAATGGAAAGTTTCTAGCTAAAAATGGTGTACAGGAATTAGCCTAGGGACAGTCTGCAACACACTGACACAAACTTGAGTTGAGCCGGTGGATCAGTTGCTGAGCCATGTCTTATCCACTCTACAAAGATACATATACATACATATCTATATATAAGTGATTCTATGTGCTGTGGTGATAGTCATGAGAAAAGATGATGTGACAGACAAAGGAGAAGGAAGAAAATGGATGGAAAGAAATCCCCACAAAAGATGGGGAAGAAAAGACTTTCTAAATTTATAAAGATATGTCTGTGTAAAGGAAAAATGCGTACCTGCATATACACATACAAGTATATATAATATATCAATACATGCAATATGTGTGCTTGTGTGTATATGCATATGTCTATGTGTTTGAGTGCATGCATGCATACATGTGTGTGTATGTGGATGTATTGCTTTGTTTTACAGTAAGGTTCGCCCTGTAAAAAGGGTCACTCAAGGTAGAGGGTTATTATGTCATGGGGTAGTTTATATGGATAGGAGGGGAAGATAACGGTTGACTCTAGGCTTGAACAGATTAAAATTGTAGTGATTGGGGAAACATCCTCTTGGGAGTCTGTTATACAGCTATATTTATACATACATGAGTGTATATGTTCTTCTTACTTGTGTAATCATGATAGTATATAACAATGAATGTTATGAGGAGTGTTTAAAATATCCATTATATACATCCCTTTATCTATGTGTGTGTTTGTGTGTGTGATACACACACACAAACACACACACACACACATATATATATATATTAATAAAAAAAGTCATCTGATCAATTTTTATCACATTTGCCTTGATAAAGTCCATCAAATGACGAAACGTGTTGGCTAAGATTAAGTGTAGTTTTCCAGTTGTATTTTTTTATTTATTTTGTCTCTTCTACAGATACACTCCATCTAAGAATATGCACATACATACATACATACATACATACATACATACATAGATACATACATACACACACACAAACACACACACACGCACACACACACACATATATATATATATATATATGAAAGAAAGAGATTATGTCACTTTTTATGCATGTAAAGTATGTGTATAAGTACTTTAACCAAACCATTATATTCAGCATTTATACATATATATCCCTCATATGTATTTATGCATATATATATATATATATATATATATATATATATATATATATATATATATATATATATATATATATATATAGTTAAGAGCCAGACAAACCTACCAAGGTTTCAGCTAAGCAGATTGTCAGGGAAGGCCTGACGATCTGCTTAGGTGAAACCTAGGTAGGTTTGTCTGGCTCTCTAGGTTTAACTAGGTCTGCTCTACTCATTGTATTGAGCACTTTATTTAGTTGTTTTGGGTACTCGCATTGGGTTTTTTTTCTTTGGGCCTTGAACTCATATGCTGGACGATTATTTTCGGTTAACGTACATGTTCTTGGTTCTTTCTTTTTTTATACCTTTTTTTCCCCTTTGGTATTGGCTTGTTTATTTGCAAATCAATACACTGAAGGTTTTCCGAGCGAGTATAGTTTCTTATACTTATGAGATTTCTATTAATAATATTTATATATATATATATATATATATATATATATATATATATATATATATATATATATAGGAGTGGTTATAAAAGCTGATCACATTCATCAATATTTTGTTTATTTATAGATTTATTTACCTGACCCTAGTTTCTAAGCCATATCTTAGGAGAGGCAGTTTGGTTTTATGTATTATGTCTATCACCTAAGATTATTTTGACTTGAACCAATGTGTATTCCTGTACTTCTATAAGAAGATTGCCAGCCATATGCTGCACAAATTACTAAAATAAACTTTTCAATTTGGATTAGTTTCAATAAATGAACATTTTAATAATAAAACACCTACAATTTTAATTTCAATACAAATGTGGATAAAACAAAAATCAACTATGCAGAATATAAGCAACTTTTGTTGTTTTCACACCTTTTATGGCTTTAACAGTTAATTTGATTTAATTTTTAATCTAATTTAATTTAAATCATTTCCTCAAGGTGTCAGTATAAACTGATACCTTCCTTTTTCTATATATCTAAAATATAATTATAAACTAAAATCGTCAAAGTAAAAATTTCATTGAAATATGTTGAAAGATTTTAAAGTTTTCATTTGAAATCAAGACAATATGAACTTTAATCAAAATGGCCACAATATATGAAAAAAGGGTGTTTGTTTAAAATGATACTTTCATAGAATAAAAAAAGTATAAGTGTAAACTATAATTTTGGAAAGTTAAAATTTCATTGAAATATGTTGGAAACTTTCTAGGTTTTCATTTGAAATCAAAAAATATAAACTTTAAACAAAATGGTCACAATATATGGCAAAAGTAGGTGTTATTTTGCCTGTATCCTCCTGATGTCTGAGTAAACAGATACATTTTTTTCTATATAAGGATAATCTTTGATTTTGGAAAGTGAAAATTTCACTGAAATATATTGGAAATTTTTTTATCTGAAATAAAAATATATAAACTTTAAGCAAGATGATCTCAATATATTGGGGTGGTAGCACCTGTTAGGATCCCAGCTATGGGCAAATAGTGAAACCCCAAACAAAACACTATGAAAATATAAAAATAAATTCTCATAAAAAACAACAATACATATTTATAGCAAAATGACCAACAATACATTTTATTTGCAGTTGAAGACATACAAGTGCATTCAATATATATTTAGTTGGAGCCATAAAGTTGTGTTTAAAATATTTAGATTTTGGCATTAAATAAACCATAGAGGTTGATATGCTGCTGAACAAAATCCACCAACCAGCATCTCAATATATTGAAAAAGATGGCATCAGTTTAAACCACTACCAGAAGGAAATGAGCTAAGATCTTTCCTCCACATTTATACACTTTTCTCATATGTCCTTATTGTTTGATTGTTATTTTACT